CCGTATTCCAGGACTTTATGCATGAGGTGCTCCGGGAGTATCTACACTGGTTCGTCCTCGTCTATATTGATGACATCCTAATCTACTCCCGGAGCTTGGCCAAACATCACCACCACGTTGCGGAGGTCCTGAAATGCCTGAGAGAATTCCATCTGTTCCTTAAAGCCGAGAAATGTTCATTCCATCAGTCCTCAGTGCAGTTCCTTGGGTATGTCATCGACGACGGGGGTATCCAGATGGACGAGAGGAAGGTTGATGCCATCCAAAACTGGCCAGTTCCCACCACCGTCAAAGAATTGCAAAGGTTCCTGGGTTTCGCCAACTTTTATCGGAGATTCATTCACCATTACAGTTCCATAACCAGTCCGCTCACCAGTATGCTGAGAGACAAGCCCAAATCCCTGTCCTGGTCACCAGCTGCCACGGAGGCCTTTGAAACACTGAAGAACGCCTTCACCTCGGCACCGCTCCTCGTCCACCCAGACCCCAACAAACCTTTCGTGGTAGAGGCGGACACTTCCACTACGGGTGTAGGAGCGGTGCTTTCGCAGCAGCAGGGGACTCCAGCCAAACTCCATCCATGTGCCTTCTTCTCCCGCAAACTCAGCCCGGCGGAGAGAAACTACGACATCGGCAACAGGGAACTCCTTGCGATCAAATTAGCCCTGGAGGAATGGAGGCATTGGTTGGAGGGAGCTCAGCATCCCTTGGGAGCGGCAGAGACGGCTGAGCCAGAGCTTATGTTTATACTGTGGAGCTGGAGGGCATGTAATCGCGGCATGCCCTATTCCCCCGCCACGACCTATGGTGAGTGTCATTAAGCCATCAATAGTTAATATGCAGCCCCTCACCACTGGTGTAAAACTTACTGCCTCCGAAATCTCCTTTCCAGTACATGCCCTCCTCGACTCTGGCTCAGCCGGGAACTTCATCTCCGGGAATCTCTGGAGAACTGGTGAGGTCCTGAAGTGGGACAGCACCTGCTTTCCTGACTGTTTTCCTCATCTTCCTCAGCCATCACCCTTGCACTCCGAGGCCCTCACACTCTGCTCCACCTCCATTGAAAGTCCGGTCGAGAAACAGTCAGTCGACATTCCAGCCTGTTATGCCCCCTTCAGTGACGTGTTCTGCCCGAAGAAGGCCTCCCAGTTACCTCCGCACCGGCCATGGGACTGTGCCATTGATCTGATTCCGGGTGAGCCAGTGCCCCATGGAAGGATTTATCCCCTATCACTCCCCGAACAGAAGGCCATGGAGGAGTATATCGAGGAAGCATTAAAATCAAGGCTACATCCACCCTTCCACGTCCCCTGCTGCTTCCAGCTTCTTTTTTGTGGCCAAGAAGGACGGGGGTTTGAGGCCTTGCATCGATTACCGGGTTCTAAACAAGAGTACCGTCAAGTTCGGCTATCCACTTCCTCTCGTCCCAGCAGCATTGGAACACCAAGTTAGACCTCCGCAGCGCATATAACCTCATCCGGATACGTGAGGGGGACGAGTGGAAGACTGCCTTCGTGACCCCTACTGGGCACTAAGAGTATCTTGTCATGCCGTATGGACTAGTAAACGCCCCCTCTGTATTCCAGGACTTCATGCATGAGGTGCTCCGGGAGTATCTACACTGGTTCGTCCTCGTCTATATTGATGACATCCTAATCTACTCCCGGAGCTTGGCCAAACATCACCACCACGTTGCGGAGGTCCTGAAATGCCTGAGAGAATTCCATCTGTTCCTTAAAGCCGAGAAATGTTCATTCCATCAGTCCTCAGTGCAGTTCCTTGGGTATGTCATCTGTGCCTTCTTCTCCCGCAAACTCAGCCCGGCAGAGAGAAACTACGACATCGGCAACAGGGAACTCCTTGCGATCAAATTTATTTACGAGACGCTAAGAGACTCAATCCCATAACACAAATATAATAATAAAAATAATAAAAGGCCAAATATTATATGTATTTTAATATATTAATATATATTAAATAATTGACTATTTTTGTGACCTTCTTGTTTTATTGTGAGTTTAATAGAAGAAATAAAACCAGTTTTTAGGTATACAGTCACATTTATGAGAAATAAAGTCATTGTATATATATATATATATATATATATATACAGTATATATACAGTGTTTTTGCGGACATTTCTGTTAACCCTAAAATGAAACAAAATAAATATGGAAAACAATGTACTGAAAACAATACAGTACATTGTGCCCTATTTTTACAGATTGTTTTTTATACAGTGCACTATTGATAATAATTAGTAAATTACTTCAATGGTGCTTTTATTATATTAAAAATATATAATATTTGGCTTTTTGTTAACTCTTATTTTATCAGAAAATTATTATTATTATTATTATTATTGTGAGAAATAAATTCACACTGCAAAAGTCAGAAAGTCACAATTACAAGAAAAAAGTCATGTTGCAAGGTAGATCACGTGATATATGTTTGATAAAAGACAATAGTGTCGCAATTACCTTTTTTTTTTTTTTTTTGCAGGCTTCCACCAAATAAATGATTAGTAAAAAATAAGTTAAGATAGGTAAATAAATAGGCTTTTAAATCATGTGCACACTCATATAAGTAGCATAATAAAAGCTGATGTATTTTACTTGGACCCTGATGGAGTCTGTCACGTTGAGACCACAATTCTAATAAATGCCTCAGTAACCATGCTGTGTTACATTGCATACTAAATTATTAACATCTAATGAAATATACAACCAGCACGTGGTATAATGACATTTGTTTTATCCTCTACATATACATATTCCATCAGATTAAAACTAAGGGGAGTCTTTTTACCCAGCACCACAGCTGTTTACTGCGTCTAGCTTCTGAAATGCTCCAGCTGATCATACAAGGTTTATAGCTGCAAAGGTTCATAACGACATGTGAGATCTGAGTTCTGAAAACTTTGGTCATTGTCCTGCTGGAAATCCAGTCTGTAGTCTTCTAACAGCTGAGCTAACACAGACACGGGCCGGCTGCTGCTAGCGCCCTTGAAATGCCTATGGTGTCAATAGGTTCAAAGCCACTATGGTGGATTCTAGGAAGCATTGACGTAAATCCTAAAAAGCAAAGGGATGTGTACTGTAGTAGCGTAACAATGAACAATAAGCAGCAGCATAAACAATATAATAAAGAAAATTATTCTGTATACATGCCCCAAGTGCATAACATGTATCGAAGCATATGGATGAGTTTTGATCATTTTGACTGATGGATTTCAAGGAAATGTCACAAAAAATTGGCAATACATGCTAAATAAAAAGGCATGAAATTAAAAATGGATTTTATGTTCTTATGTTCTGTCTTTATGCCAATGATGATAAATTAGTTATTAAAAATGAGTTCCAACAACAAATTTTTTTTTATTATTATTATTTTTTTTGTACTTTCTGCTTTAAGACAGGTTTTTTTTTTAATCATTAATCAATAATACTAATAATAATAATAATAATAAGATAATAACACTGTCTTAAAGCAGAAAGTATTCTGTTAGACAGGTCAAACTGGTAAACTCAGCCAAAAAAAAAAAAAAACATTAAAATAATTTTCATTACTTGAAATAAAATAGGCATTATCTGAAATAAAATATTAAACTTAAATATTAAACTTAAATTCATTTTTATATATTTATTTCAGATTTTATTTTTATTAAAAAAATACAAAACACAACACAATTACTAAAACTTTAACTAAAATTAAAGTGAAAACAGAAAAGAGAAATAAAACCGATAGTACATCAATGATAATCAAATAACACTGCTTTAATATTATTCATCCATGTGGTTGTTCAGTGAACGAAATACCAAGTTTAACAGTGAGTTTAACATGACATCTTGTGGTAACACATCAGTTCATCCTTTTAGTGTTCATTCATTGAACATAAAAGCTGTGATTTAGATGTGTTGAGCTAATATGTCATGAGATGCACAGGAGAATCTGAAATGTATTTAATTTGTCTGCAGATGACATTTGATATTTTCTTTATGCAAATTAATTCCACACATTTGTCAGTGTGGTTTAAGTGTTTTTTTGGGGGGGAGGAAGGAGGCACTTTATATTCACGCCATTTATTATTATTAGGTATTGTTATATATATTTGTCACACATCAGCAGCCCATATGCTTAAGCTTACGAACTAGAGGAGAACTAGAGTCTGGCGGAAACAGTTAACTGCATCCCTCAATCTTGACACATGGATCCTCTTTCTAGTGGTTTGAGAGACGACAGACCTGTGGATCCCATGGCAGAGATGATTTAGAATGGATATGAATGCTTCCGATTACAACAGGAAATAATGAAACAATAAGGGCCCTCTACACTCTTAAAAATAAAGGTGCTTCAAAAGGTTCTTCAAGCGATGCCATAGAAGAACCATTTTTAGTTCCACAAAGAACCATTCAGTCATAGGTTCTTTAAAGAACCATCGCTTTATTACCTTTTTATAATCTCAAGAACCTTTTTTCGCCACAAAGAACCTTTTGTGAAACAGAAAGGTTCTTCAGATGTTAAAGGTTCTTTATGGAACCATTTAGACAAAAAGGTTCTTCTATGGCATCGTGAAGCACCTTTATTTTTAAGAGTGTATCACCGACTGTTAACTCATTCATTTGCGCTCTCATTCAGTGAGCTGTCCTGTTGAGAACACTGTGACCGGGTCAAACAAGACAAAACTTTAGTTGTCATATAGAAGTAAGGTATCAGTACTTTAATTCAGTGATCAGTATGTAGATAACATAGTACGTTCTTAAAAAAATAAAGATTCCAAAGAGAGGTTTCCATAGCAATGCAACGGAAATATTATTTTGGGTTCCCCAAAGAACCTTTCTGTGAACATTTTTGTTTGTTTGAAAAATATTGTAATAATCTGAAACTTTTTCCACTGTAAAGAACCTTTTGTGCAATTGAAAAAAGGGCCTCAATGGAACCATTGATGCCAATTAAAAACCTTTGTTTTTAAATGTGTACTAAATGAACCTTACAGAATACCACAGAATTACCATGGTATATGTCCAAAAACAAATGGTTTGGGTAAAGAGAAACAACAGAAAGTGCATATTTTAGCCAGGAACATACACATCAATATATATGAAAGAATATACACAGACGTCTCTCAGTAAATCATTGTCATATTTATTTCAAGGTGTGCAAGAATTATTGTCCACATTCACTGTATTTCACCAATAACATGCTGAACCTTTCAATCATTTACACCACTAAAACTGCATTTTAAACCTTTGTTGAGGTTGAACTTTCTTTAAAAAAAAAAGGTTGAATGTTTTTCATTTTACCTCTTTTTCAGCCCTGTGTCCCTGTATTCCTAATGTAGTAATTTAAAAAAACGTTTGGTAAACAGTTAGTCTCAGATATTTAGCTGATTCGAGGTAGGGCTGGTATGTTATGTGGTATGTTACATAAAAAAATTGATACCTGAGCCAGAACAAATTTACAGAGTAAAAGGCACTGGTGGAGAAAAAGTGCAGTGTCTTACAAATCTTCCGAGTATAGCAACACATCCCTTAAATAAATAAATCAAGGCGAAAGATGTTCCTTGACTCAACTGCAATAAAAACGATAGACACAACAACAGCCGACAGGGATTGTTTAAAAAAAATAGAAATTCAAAATAAAAGGCTACAGTGTCTTTTGAAGTGGCTGTCTTTAAACATAGTAAGGCATGAAGCATGATTGTCTGTATGACCCGTGATTGGTCCACTTGATTGCACCACTTACACACTGTATTGCTTTTAATATGAGTTTTGATATCACATTTGTGAGGATTATGAATCTGGCATGTCTTTCACTTTTATCTTAGCGCGTTCTTCTCCAGTAAGCAACAGCTACAATGAATGCCATCGCAGTGAGGAAAGACACAGTACGCCATCTTGACACGTTGTGGAAAATGCCCTCCTGCAACACAAGGCAGAGAAAGCATTAGATACACCCTGCATATGAACACATTTTCAAGACTTTGAATGACATCCATCCAATAATCAATAATTCTAATCTGTACGACTTTCTTCCGTGGAAGACAAATGAGGGATTTTTTGCAGTAAGTGGACGTTTTCCATAACTACACAAATGAATGGAACCAGTGCTGTCAAAATGTAAAAACTGGAAAACACTGTTTGAATTACACAAATGCTAATGAGATTAGAGAGCAGTGCTGGAGGGGAAGCTTTTCATTGAATAATGACTTTTTTGATACTTTTCAGAAGAAATAAATACCCAGAAAAATTACATGTAATTCTTGTTGAATTCACTGCCCTCAGCAGTCAATCATTTCACAATGCGACAGGAAAGATGTTGCTTTTTAATGACTTTTCAGACCTTTTAGAGATTATACAAATCTATCTATATGGCGAAAGCAACTTTCAGTGGTTCAGTAAATTAATCTGATTAATCCTGTAACTGCTTTGATTCATAAGTGTTTTTGATCTACTAAAAAGGACCAGCTCATTAGTCATCACTAGTCATTTGTGAAGTAGTCCTCAGATGCCATATTCATTAGCATCTTACGTTGTTGAGAAAGTTGCTAACTGAATGAACTGCATGTATACAGGGGTTAACTGCGATTAAAACAAATTAAAGGCTTTCAGTTGTTTGTGTAAATGAATTATAATAATGGCATTAATTGTAATCTTCAATCAATTACCAGAAGTTATTACTCTGAGATTTGCTATGTAGTATATTTTTCTTTATGTGAGTGTACTGGATGTATGCTGGTAAAATATACATACATACATTATATACGTAGATGTAGTTTGGAATTATTCATTCCTTATAAGGTTTTGTTCAGTTTATAACAATTTGGTGTAGTGACAAGCCTAATTAATATCTGCTGATGTGCATGGGGTAAATCACACATATAAATGACAGAGTCACAGCATAAAACTTAACACTTCTGGCTATACAATCCAAATATAATGTCAATAATTTAGTAGATATGGTACTACAATATCTGAACCATAAGATGAAGTGAAGTGAAGCCAAGTATGGTACAAGTGTGAGTATTGAACACACACACACACACACACACACACACACACTGTAAACACACCCAGAGCAGTGGGAAGCCATTTTTGCTGCGGCACCCTGGGAGCAATTATGGGTTCGGTGCCTTGCTCAAGACACCTTAGTCGTGGGTGCTGAGGGTGGATAGAGTGCTGTTCAATCACTCCCCCCACCAACAATTCCTGCCAGTACTGACAATCGAACCCACGACCTTCGGGTTACAAGTCCAACTCTCTAACCATTTTGCCACAACTACCTAATGGTTATACATGGTGGCACATTCCCCTGCAGTACAATACTGTAAACAGCAGGTGCCTGATCTTTTTCAAATCCCCAAAATGAGGGTCAAACGTACAAGAGTCCCTTCTCCTCCCTGGCTGGGTTTGCATTCTTCAGGCTCATGCTGCTTAGCACATTGTAAATATTGTCACATGTTCACTGTATTCCAGTTCTCAGGGCCACAGTATGCTCCATCACGCCTGAGTGTTTGAGGTCTAAACCCAGCACCCCACATTCTGCTTCCTTTATGATCATATGTGTGCTATTAAACTTGAGTGGCCCCAGGAACTGCAGCCAGCCTGGTGGAGGCTCTGCAGCGCACATGCAAATCACATCTTACTGAAGTATGACAACATCAACTCTTACAGGAGATGTGAAAAGCAAAAACTGGCATTCTTGATATGCAATCACTGGTATCTAGTTGCATGCCATGCTGGGTCAGTGGGTTTTTGTGTCTGGATATTCCTAGACGGGATGTGTCTGGGTTTGTGCTTATGTACTTCCTGGCTCGAGTGGGTGCGTCTCTCTGTGTGTGGTGGCCCATGTCTGGCTCAACCTGTGTGGCTCCACATGGGTGGCCAGACAACACACACAAAAACAGCAACTTACCCATCCTCCTTGCTGTCTGATCCAGGCAGAAATGTTTTCCTTGATAAACTGTAAAACCCAGCTAATGATCCTCTTGATAATGTCAAAGTGGTTCTGAGTCAGAGCCTAAAGGAATAAAAGATCATTTTTATACATCTGCATTATCCATAAGAATAAGCATCCCTTAATAAATCTGATCCATCAACAATCATGAATTTGCATTGATGGAGTTTTTCATTTCCTTTTCTTAATTATTCATGCAATACCACAGCACTTTGATTGAAAAACAAATGGTGAGGCAATATGTTTACATTTTCAATTAAAATAATTCAAAGATGAACAAATGGACAAAGAATACTAAAATTCAGTTGGAAAATGGCAAAATTAGAGTTTCACCTGGTAAATGAGCCTATACGCGAGGTGAAACAGTGCCACCACACGTCCCCAGTTAATGCCATCCTCAAAGATGCTCCTGGCTACAGTCATGAAGACGTCCTGAGCGCAGTTTGCTTGCACAGTGCTGATGAGACTGTGAGAGGAAAAAAGTTGTGTTATGGGCTTCCCAAACTCTTCAACCATACCATCTTAAACAAAACACCACCCGTATGGACCACTACCCGTATTTCAATGCAAATGATCAATTCATAATTATTCTGCTAACATTTGGTTGCAACAAAGGTTAGCTATCTTGTTCTATATTGTACACTGTTCATACTGCATCCTGGTTTAGTAACCAGTCCTGGGTTGTCAGGTTTTGAGATTTCATACTGTAGCCTTTTAAACCTTGTCATAATGTTCTTATTTACACATTTGAGAGATTAGTAACAATGATTGGACAAATACTGTACACAATGAACATGAGGTCCTTTAACAACAGCTTTGTCCAGATCCAGTTATGTTGAAGTTTTCTGCACAATACAGCAAAAAAAATTAAAAAAAATGCATCTTTTGTGCACACCAGTTAGGGCAAAAAGTCTCATACCACTTTTTTTTTTTTCAGGAAAATTACCTTTTTATCACGATTCTTTGTCATGTTGGTTTTACTATTTTGCAAGTTGTCTGAGCAGGACAGGCAAACTAATTTCCCTATTTTAAAAACAAAGCCAAGGTGACAAAATATAAAATAAAAAAAGAATGGCAGACATTTAGGCCATTTTAGGGAAGTGGGCAAAGATAAAATCTTTGTCATTTTATCTTTGTTATTAAAAAATAAGAACAAATATACACATTACAAATACACATAATATACAAATAAAACAAACAGTGCTTTATTTTTCAGGTACAGTAGGTGTATTTAGGAGTAGCATTCAAGAAATGTAATGAACAAATTTAAAAATTAAACACTATATACACTTCACTGTATAAATTATACATTGATTCTTATTAAAGCAACTGTATTAAAGTTATTCAGTCAAGCACAGTGATTGATTTTTCTCTTTGTGTTTTGTTGTTTTATTAACATTAAAGGGATAGTTCACCCAAAAATGAAAATTCTGTCATCATTTGCTCACTCTCAAGTTGCTTTAAACCTGAATGAGTTTCTTTTTTCTGTTGAACATAAAAGTTATTTTGAAGAATGTGGGTAACCAAACAGTTGCTGGTCCCCAGTGACTTCCATAGTATTTTTTTTTTCCTATTATCAAAGTCAATGGGAACCAGCAACTGTTTGGTTACCCACATTCTTCAAAATATCCTCATTTGTGTTCAGCACAAGAAAGAAATTAATACAGGTTTGGGACGACATGAGAGCAAGTAAATAACGACTTAATTTTTGGGTGAACTGTCACTTTAAGTGGCAGCATGTTTAGTACTATTAGTCTCCTGTCACTTTAGACCTGCACACATCTAATATACAGGCATGCATCTGTTTGTCTCTCAACTGTTTACTTTCACTTTAGACATAACCAACTATGTTTTTTGTAAACCTTGAGTGTCCAGTAATCAGGCGCTGTTAGACAGGCTTTTTAGTGTGCGTGTGCTTAGGTGTACATGCTCAGAAAAAGTGCATGTCAGAACAGCATGCAAATGAAATGTTTAACCGGCGAGGTTTTAAAGCACATATACTGTACTTTTGTGATTGCGAATAAGTGCAGTTTTCTGTGAGTGTAACACTACCGCTGAGTTAACATTAATGCGAATGTGTGTCACGCTGCCAGAACTGGAACTGATAGAATGTGTGCTGTAGCACAATATGATATTTCTTCAAAAGCAGATTGTGGAGACATTTTAATCATCCATGATCAAAAATCATGATATCGCATACCAGCTAACACCCGTCAGGTTGGGAGAGGTGGGGGCAGTGGTCTTCTCATTTCCAAAAGCTGGAAATACCTGACATGCTCTTATAACTTTAACATTACTTACTTTGGATTTCATACCATTATAGTCACACTAAACCCACATTGTAGTTATTTATCGCCCTCCAGGTCAGCTGGGCAACTTTCTAGAAGAACTGGATATGCTGCTATCCTCATTCCCTGAGAATGGCAGCACTCTAGTACTTTATGGTGACTTCAAAATCCACCTTGAGAAGCCACATGCTGCTGACTTCCACTCTCTCCTAGCTTTTTTCGACCTTCAGCAGCTCAACACCACATGTACCCATAAATCAGGTAACCAGCTCGACCTCATCTTTACACACAATTGTATCACAGACAACATCTTGGTCAAACATTTGCATGTCTCAGATCATTTCATTATTACTTTTAATCTACATCTACCTTTGTCCACACCACCAACCCCTCTGCCAGTTTCGTTTAGGCAAAACCTAAGGTCTCTTTCTCCTTCTCGACTTTCCTCTGTGGTATTGTCCTCTCTTCCCACCCCCACACACTTTTCACCATTAGATGGGAATTGTGCAACAGATATGCTATTTTCTACCCTAACTAGCTGCCTAGATAATATCTGTCCTATTTCCTCCAGACCAGCACGTGGTACTCCCTCCAATCCCTGGTTAATCGATGTCCTCCGCGAGCATTGGACTAAACTCAGGGCAGCAGAGAGAAAATGGTGCAAATCAAAAGATTCAACTGATCTCAGCAGGTATCAGTCACTGCTATATTCATTATACACCAAAGTTCATGCTGCCAAAACTACCTTCTTCCATAAGATCAACAATGCATCAGACACAGGCAAACTCTTCAAAACATTCAATACTGTCCTTTGTCCCCCTCCGCCACCTCTTTAACAGCTGACGATTTTGCTAATTACTTCACAAACAAAACCACATCCATCAGCAGTCATTTCTCAGCTCCACTCACCCAGGAACTCACAGCAAACACTCACACAGCTGACCATCTTCTCCTCCTTCTCTCCTTTTACAGAAGATGAAGTCTCTAAACTTATCCTCTTCAGCCACCCTACCACCTGCCTTCTAGACCCAATCCCCTCACATCTCCTACAAGCTGTTTCCCATGTACTTCTGAAGTACTTCTGCCTTCACTCACACACATCATCAACACATCTCTTCTCACAGACATTTTCCCCACTGCATTCAAGCAGGCTCGGGTAACCCCACTGCTTAAAAAAAAACCTACACTAGACACCTCACTTGTTGAAAGCTACTGGTCCGTGTCTCTCCTCCCTTTCATAGCAAAATCACTTGAACGCGTTATGTTCAACCAAGTGTCCTGCTTCCTTTTACAGAACAACCTGCTGGACAATAAACAATCTGGATTTAAAAGTGGCCATTCAACTGAAACTGCCTTGCTGTCTGTCACTGAAGTGCTATGGAGTGCAAGAACTGAGTCCAAATATTCCGTTCTCATTCTCCTAGATGTATCTGCTGCGTTCAATACTGTTAATCATCAAATCCTTCTGTCAACCCTCTCATCGCTGGACATCACTGGAACTGCACTTCACTGGTTTAAGTCTTACCTCAAGGTAGGTCCTTCGCGGTGGCTTGGGGAGGAGAGATATCCAAATCATATCAACAGGTCACTGGGGTTCCTCAGGGATGAGTTCTTGGACCCCTCCCCTTCTCTATATACACTACATCACTGGGCCCCGTAATTCAGGCACATGGTTTTTCCTACCATTACTATGCTGATTACACACAGATCTACCTCTCATTTGAACCAGATGATCCAATGGTACCTGCTCGGATCTCGGACTGCCTGACAGACATCTCAGCATGGATGAAAGAACATCACCTGCAGCTCAACCTGGCAAAGACAGAGCTTCTCAGACCCGTCCTAACAGAGCATGCAACACAGCTTCTCGTCCAGGCCCTTGTCATTTCTAGGCTGGAATATTGCAATGCTCTTCTGGCTGGACTTACAACATGCGCAATCAGGCCTCTGCAAATGACTCAGAAAGCAGCAGCATGCCTTGTTTTCAATGAGCCCAAGAGAGCCCATATTACAATGCTTCTCATCTCTGCACTGGCTTCCAGTCGAGGCTCACATCAAGTTCAAGACATTGGTGCTTGCCTACAGAACAGCCATGGGCTCCGCAACCTCCTACCTCCTCTCTCTCCTATTCGTCTACATCCCCTCCAGAAGAGTGCATTCGGTAAATGAGTAGCGGCTTGTGGTCCCATTGCAGAGAGGCACAAAATCACTCTCATCGTACCCTTTTGGTGGAATGACCTACCTAACTCCATCTGGACAGCCAAATCCCTCACAATCTTCAAGAAAGAACTGAAAACTCATCTCTTCAATGACCATCTAACTGCCTCCTAATAAAAAATAAATAAATACAATTCTATGCCTTCAATTTTTCTATTATCTTATGATCCTTTATCCCTTCCTGGCCTAGTTTTTACTATTATGAACAATGACTGAAACCTTGTATAATGGGCACTTCTCTTGTTTATTGCCATCTTATGATAAATCGCTTGTTGTGTTCCTCAACTGTAAGTCGCTTTGGATAATAGCATCTGCCAAATGAATGAATGTAAATGTAGTTAAATGTTCATCGTTGTTCAACTTTTACCTCTAACTGAAACTAAACCCAGTCTGGAAATTTCTACGCACATGCATATTTAATGAGATAAGAGGAGAAGGAGTTTATAATTGGTTGTCTTTTGCTAAACAACCAAAAGCAGAGCACCATTCTAAACTGTATTACCATGGTACTATAATTTGGGGTTAACCTTGCAAAAGTGGTGCTAAACCTGGTCTGGAGCAGGGCTACGTAACCCAGGGTTAAAACTGCCACTGACACAAGGTTTAAAAATATGTTAACCCAGGATTTAGTGCAGTTCAAAAAAAAAGCCCTTATGTTGAAATTCCTGAAAGTTTGGTGTCTTTGATGGCTTCTATAACTTTTATGACTAGCCTAAAAACATTCACAGATTTCTGCCATCTTTAAGGCCTCATTAAAGTTTCACCCCAAAGAAAAGCCTCTTTTGAATGTTTAAAATTATCTACACTCACAAGACACTAAATAAAAGCTATTTCCGTTTTTTTCTAGATCACATGACCAGTCTAGATCACATGCAAATACTACTTCCTTTATCTTGGTAACCTCCTTTTACCAGACACTTTCTTTCGTAGAAAGACTTAATCATGGCTGGCTATAAATAGAGAATTTCTACAACAGCGTCTTTAACTGGAAACCTTTGCTTTTACATCCATGCCATTAGGTGTCAGCTTAAAGGGATACTCCACCCTAAAATGAAAATTTTGTCATTAATCACTTACCCCCATGTCGTTCCAAACCCCTAAAAGCTTTGTTCGTCTTCGGAACACAATTTAAAGGGGTCCTATTATGCCTTTTCACTTTTTACATTTTAGTCAGTGTGTAGTGTGTATGTTTGGGCATAAAAAAGATCTAGAAAGTTACAAATCTCAAAGTCCACTCCAAAGGGAGATATTTCGTTTTTATAAAAAATCCCTTTTCAAGAACTACAACGAACGGCTCATTTGGACTACAGCGTTGGTTTCCGGGCTTTGTGATGTCACAAAGCGGCCCATTAGAATATAATTAAAATAATTCCCGCCTACAGAAATTCGAATGGTTGGGCTGGGGAGGGGCGAGGTCATGGTTAGAACTAGGGATGCACTGATACCGATACTGGTATCGGTATCGGGCCCGATACTGGTCTCCTGTACTCGTACTCGTTAAAATGCCCCGATACCAAACGCCGATACCACACAGCATGTGATAAGCGCCATATTCAGACAAAGAAACACCAACAACAGAACAACAGACAGCAGAAAGGAGTTAAGGATGTCTACTACGAAGTATATGTATGCAATGAATATAATGTTAAACATTCAGTATTAACGCCTGTATAGCTGATGTGCGCGAGCTGATAAACAAAGCACGCTGAGTGGATTGAGCGCACGCGGCGCAGATGCGCGAGCTTGTCGAGTGAATAATATATCTTTCTCACAGACATCACTGGAAAGTTTGTAGTTCGGTCGGATATGTCAAAAACAAGTAAGTAAAACAATGCACAAGTTACTTAACGGTAGGGAGA